AGGTGGCACTGTTTGGTTTCAGTACTTTAAATCTGTGACATGAAACAAGTTTGCAGATAAGAGCCACTGACTACAAAAATATTGAAGCCACAGGCACCTAGGCAACTAGCATTTTTCAGAAAGATATCCAAAATAGCAGCTTCCGTGCTTCTTATGTTTAAAACATAAATTTTGGTTTGTTGCATTGATCAGTCTATATGGGGCGAGTGCAGTGTCCAGGTCTAAGGATATGAAGTATAAATTCAAAGGGGCAGGTAGTTGAGGACGGGGGCCATGGCCTGGTTTGTGTCATGACCAGCTATTTCCTTGCAAGCTGCAGACATTACAAGGCCATTGTCAATTCCATTTGAAAGGGAGTAGTGAAAGCACTGCAGAGACATATGGATTGCATGTGTTTTTTTTGTGTAGCACCCTCTAAGTGGTGATGGAGAACTCCCAGGTAGCTTAGTGCCTTAGCATTACACCTAAGGGTGAAATCCTGGACTCGTGGGTTGAAAGAAATTGGGCACCAGTCACTTTAAGACGTTTAACAGAGTATGTTACAGCACTATTAAACTCAGGGAGAGTTGGTTTACAGCACAGGATACCCCCAAAAAATAAAAAATATGAAGACTCCATAGCTCTACTCACAGTCAGTACAGAAGGACCTTTAAGTGGAACCAGCACTCTAACTTCTCAAGACCGTAAAGCAGTTTTAAGGCAGCACACATACAGTGGGGCAAAAAAGTATTTAGTCAGCCACCAATTGTGCAAGTTCTCCCACTTAAAAAGAGGAGAGAGGCCTGTAATTGGCATCATAGGTAGACCTCAACTATGAGAGACAAAATGAGAAAAAAAATCCAGACAATCACATTGGCTGATATGGAAAGAATTTATTTGCAAATTATGGTGGAAAATAAGTATTTGGTCAATATCAAAAGTTCATCTCAATACTTTGTTATATATCCTGTGTTGGCAATGACAGAGGTCAAACGTTTCCTGTAAGTCTTCATAAAGTTGGCACACACTGTTGCTGGTATGTTGGCCCATTCCTCCATGCAGATCCCCTCTAGAGCAGTGATGTTTTGGGGCTGTCACTGGGCAACACGGACTTTCAACTCCCTCCAAAGGTTTTCTATGGGGTTGAGATCTGGAGATTGGCTAGGCCACTCCAGGACTTTGAAATGCTTCTTACGAAGCCACTCCTTCATTGCCCGGGCGGTATGTTTGGGATCATTGTCATGTTGGAAGACCCAGCCACGTTTCATCTTCAATGCCCTTGCTGATGGAAGGAGGTTTGCACTCAAAATCTCACAATACATGGCCCCATTCATTCTGTCCTGTACATGGATCAGTCGTCCTGGTCCCTTTGCGGAGAAACAGCCCCAAAGCATGATGTTGCCACCCCCATGCTTCACAGTAGGTATGGTGTTCTTTGGATGCAACTCAGCATTCTCTCTCCTCCAAACACGAAGAGTTGTGTTTCTACCAAACAGTTCTATTTTGGTTTCATCTGACCATATGACATTCTCCCAATCCTCTTCTGGATCATCCAAATGCTCTCTAGCAAACTTCAGACGGGCCCAGACATGTACTGGCTTAAGCAGGGGGACACGTCTGGCACTGCAGGATCTGGTCCCTGGCGGCGTAGTGTGTTACTGATGGTAGCCTTTGTTACGTTGGTCCCAGCTCTCTGCAGGTCATTCACTAGGTCCCGCCGTGCAGTCCTGGGATTTTTTCTCACCGTTCTTGTGATCATTTTGACCACACGGGGCGAGATCTTGCGTGGAGCCCCAGATCAAGGGAGATTATCAGTGGTCTCGTATGTATTCCATTTTCTAATTATTGCTCCCACAGTTGATTTGTTCACACCAAGCTGCTTGCCTATTGCAGATTCAGTCTACCCAGCCTGGTGCAGGTCTACAATTTTGTTTCTGGTGTCCTTCGACAGCTCTTTGGTCTTCACCATAGTGGAGTTTGGAGTGTGACTGTTTGAGGTTGTGGACAGGTGTCTTTTATACTGATAACAAGTTCAAACAGGTGCCATTGATACAGGTAGTGAGTGCAGGACAGAGGAGCCTCTTAAAGAAGAAGGTACAGGTCTGCGAGAGCCAGAAATCTTGCTTGTTTGTAGGTGAGCAAATACTTATTTTCCATCATAATTTGCAAATCAATTCTTTCCAAATCAGCCAATGTGATTGTCTGGATTTTTTTTCTCATTTTGTCTCTCATAGTTGAGGTCTATCTATGATGCCAATTACAGGCCTCTCTCATCTTTTTAAGTGGGAGAACTTGCAGAATTGGTGGCTGACTAAATACTTTTTTGCCCCACTGTACATCCTGCAATGTCCACTGGCAGTAGCTTCTACCTGGCTCTCCAGACACTCTTCAGAAGATGAAGTTTCACCCCTGGTACTCAAGTCCAGGTGGTCATCTTCCTGCACTTCCTCTGCTAGATATATCCTTCAGTAAGACAGCAGGAATCTTCAGGCCCCAGGCTTGTGCCCCTCTTTAACACAGCATACCCTTCCCAGGCAGCAGGCCTGGTAGAAAGAGAACCTCAGCAATACACCCTCCCCAAGCAGTAGGCCTGGGATGAAGGAGAGCTTAAAAGTTATCCACACTATTTATATCCTTCCCCAGCATGCATCAATAGCAACAGACCTTTCTGTGGTTGTCCAGAAAGTTTGCAGATTATTACTTCATATCACTCTATTGGCTATTTTGGGTATCCAGTGCCTCTAAATATTTCTAGAGTATAATATTAGTAAACCTTAAAGCTAAACCTAAAGTGACCCATATACAATGTCTTTTACCCCTTAATAAGCCAAGGATTCCACGGGGAAGTGAAACACTAACCTGAATTGTCAGCCACACCATCTAGGAGGACATCCTTAAACAACTAGAGAGAATGAATGCTGGAGTTGTATTATTTTTCTTTCAATCTCCTCCCAACTGTCAGTGTTTGAAGAAAAATCTATCATTCCTCCACAATTGTCCCTCTTTTTGGTCTGATTAATGGTTGTAATATGGCCAACTAATGCCCTAAGCACATCCCAACAATGGTGTCTTTTTATAGCTAAACTGACAAAATATAAGATGTTGAAGGCAAAACAAGAGACAAAGCCAGGCATGGTGGCGTGCACCTGTAATCCCAGCTACTTGAAGGCTGAGGCTTTTGGATTGCTTGAGTCCAGGAGTTCTGGTCTATCCTGCACTGGGTGTCCGCGCTAAATTCAGTATCAATATGGTGGCTCTAGGGGAGCCAGGGGCCACCAGGTTGTCCTAAGGAGGGGTGAACCAGCCGAGGTGGGAAACGGTCAAAACCCCTGTGCCGATCAGTAGTGGGATTGCACCTGTGAATAGCCAGTGTAGAGCAGCCTGGACAATACAGTGAGACAGTCTCTAAAAAAGAAAAACAAATGTAAAACAAGAGACTAAAAATTCAATTTTCTTCCAGGCCACCCCCACTCTAGACCTACAACTATCTTAATGTACAGTTCCTGCCAACATTTTGAATTAATAGATGGTAAAAGCTTAGAACTTCTGCCAGATTCTTACTATTGTTTGTGTCCCCATTGGGGAGGATTATTCCATATTTCTGTCTTGTTGACAGGGTGTCGGAGGTCAGGAAGTGTTTGGATATCTTTCCAATAGATACAGAGACAACACAATAAATACTTTTGTCACGGGGTGGAGAAGAATTAGAACATCTGTTTTTTTTTTTTTCTGAATCTGATATGAAAGTGACATACCAGAATGGTAAAGTCCAAAGTAAGGTTTTACATGAAACAATAATTAGGTGCATTCAAGAGCCAATGCATTTTGGGGGCCACATATCACCCTCTTAATCAGGACTACAGCTTAAAATAAAAATTAAGATTATTATTTATATTCTTACTTTTCATATTATGTTGTAGCTCTGATAAAGGGGGAGTTGTATGCCCCCCAAAATTCTATATAAACCTTGCTTGGAATAAAACCTTACTTTGGACACTAACATTCTGATGTGGCACTTCAATTTGTGCATGGTAGCCAATCAGCTTCTAACTTCAGCATGTTCAATTAAGCTTTGACAATAAAACCTGGAAGCTGATTGGTTGTTATGCAGCGTTGCACCAGATTTTGCACTCTCCAGTTTTAATAGGTCTCCCCCATTGTCTTTACATTCCAAGGTCTTTGTGGTAGTGCCCCGGTGCACTGAAGCAGCCTGCACATTATCCAGATTCCACACAGGCACACTTTCAGCACAAAAAAATAAACTGTTAGTAATAAAGAATTGCATACATCCTTATGTTCCATTACCATCAAATTGCTACTCTATACTATATCGCTAACACCATCTTTAGTCCCTCCCCTCACGCCAGGGTACTAGGTGTAATCCTAGACTCCAATCTGTCCTTTCAGCCCCAGATCCAATTGCTGACAAAATCATGTAGACTTCACCTCCGCAACATCTCCAAGATACGCCCGTTCCTAACCCCGGAAACTACTAAGCAACATATTTACCCCCTTGTCATATCACGCCTCGACAACTGTAACTCCCTTGGCCTACCTCATTGTAGACTATCCCCCCTCTAGTCTATCATGAACACTGCTGCCAGACTCATCCACCTCACTAACCATTCCATATCCGCCTCCCCTCTCTGCCAATCCCTCCACTGGCTCCCAGTTGCCCAACGGATAAAATTCAGAACTCTTAACAATGACATATAGAGCCATCCACAACACTGCCCCAATTTACATAACCGATCTTGTCTCTAAATATCACCCAAATCGCACACTCCGCTCCTCGCAAGACCTCTTACTCTCTAGCTCCCTTATCTCCTCCTTCCATGCTCGTCTCCAATACTTCTCCAGAGCTTCTCCCATCCTCTGGAACTCCCTACCCCAATCTATCAGACTATCACCTACTCTACTTGCCTTTCGGCGATCACTGAAAACCTTTCTCTTCAGGGTAGCCTATCCCGCCGTCTGCTAATTGTGGAATCCTCTACTCTTCCAACCACTCCATTCCCCACAGTGACTACCTATACTGTACCTTTCACCAGGGGCGGACTGACCATTCGAGAACTTGGGCACTGCCCGAGGGCCCGGGGTCAGTAGGGGGCCCCATGAAATGCCCCTGGTACCTTTTTATAGGGTTTTTTTGAGTGTGGGCAAGGACACAGGGGCCTAATGATTCCCTATTGCCCGGGGGCCCCATTAGTTTTCAGTCCGCCCCTGCCATTCACCCCTCCCTCCTAGATTGTAAGCTCCAAGGAGCAGGGCCCTCAAATCCCTCTTGTATTGAACTGTATTGTTACTGTATTGTCTCCCACTATAATGTAAAGCGCTGAGAAAACCGTTGGCGCTAAATAAATCCTGTATAATAATAATAACTAGAAAAGCTACAATTTCTGGGGAAATTGTATGAAGTGTTCTTGCCTCCACCAGTAGTCTACAACTGGAGTGGTGTCACTCTGCTGCCTGCTCACACACCTGGGTTCCTATGGCAACTCACTCTACAGCAAGGGCAGAGAAGAGCGGTTAAAAACAAACTGCTCCAACTTGCTCACTTCACTGGCGGTTGCCATCTTCAAACAGTTGTAGTTTAAAAATTATAAATCCTATACTGAAGAGCTTTATATTGTGAGAATCGCAAGTCCCAGACCTACATTTTGATGCATAGTATGTCTCTGAAATATTAAAAATGACGGCACAGTTGCAGTTTAGAAATTGCCCTTCAAATTTGAGGTGGCTAGAGTGGAGTTTCAATGAATGCCAATGGGCGGCGTGAGTTGCAAACAAATGGTCATATTGTGAAAACTATCAGGACTATGGCTTAGCCGTGGACATTTTTAGTGGCAGCAGGGATAGCTGAACGTTTTGATATAAGATTTGTGTAGGTGGGCTTGAAAATGAGGGAGTGGTGGCAGTTTAGAAATCATGTCCTGATTTTTCAGCTCACACTCTAGCTTTTGTCAGCTCCCACTCTAGTTTTGAACACTCCGCCATTCATTCCTATGGGACCAATTTCCACCACAAAAACACAGATATTTTGTGAACCATTCAGCGAAACGTTCCACAAAGTAATAACACACCAATTGGGAACAATCCGCAAGTTTCGGTATATTACTGTCTATGTGTGTAAAAAACTGTGGGAGGAGTTATTTGGCTATAATAATAAGAATATATATGTGAGATAACAATTAGTGGTCTTGCCATGCAAGAACACTTAATAATATACTTCTTATTTCTGTCTTTTGTCCTGCCCAGTGACACTCTTTTGTTTCAATTGTTTTCCTGGTGTCACAGACATTAACATGACATGGTGTCACAGACATTAACATCAAGGGATGTTCCCTTGTCCCCAATATGGTCAAATAAAGCAATAAAAACCTGAAAGAAGTTCAAGCCCTTTACCATCTATTCAAAGCAAATACATACTTGAATAAACTTTTTAAATATAAGAAAATGAATTACTCATATCTAGGGCAACAAAAAAATGCTAATTTTCCATACAGTATGAATTTTTAATAAAATTGTTACAAGAAATGCAAATACAGAAATAATCACCCTCAGAAAGTTTATAAAGCGAAATAAGATCTGATATTACGCTAAAGCAAACTTTTCCCCATCGTGTCTAGGAAAACATTTTTTAAGCAATGAAGATTAAAATAGAACACAGAAGATAACAAATATGTAAAATTTAACTTAGTTTGAGCATAGCGAAGAAAGTGTTAAGGGCATGATAGGTAGGGGGGATATCTGTGGTGCCCCCTTCCTTGGTGCTCGAAGATCAGGTTTAATGGTCAATCCAGGACTGGCCTGATATCTACATAAACTTTATAAATAAAATGTATTGTAGCACTTTTTTATTCTGCCACCTATTTAGAAAGGCACCCCAAGGCACGAGTATAGTAGCTGTCAATGTACCCAAAATGAATTTCGCAACAACATACATGCTGTTTAGTTTGGTGAGCTGTATTACAAAAATGGAGCAGGCAGGGGCGGACTGACCATTTGGAAACTCGGGAACTGCCCGAGGGCCCGGGGTCAGTAGGGGGCCCCATGAGATGCCCCTGGTACCTTTTTCATAGGCTTTTTGAGTTTGGGTAAGGACACAGGGGCCCCATGATCCCCTATTGCCCGGGGGCCCCATGAGTTGTCAGTCCGCCCCTGGAAGCAGGTATGTTTTTTGGGGGTACATTGACAGGCCATTAAAAATGTATAACTTGCCTTAGCACAACGCACGTTAAATCACATCATAACACACAACACAATAACGCATGTACAATAACACACCTCAACGGATTGCAAAACTGGACAGGGTTCCTTAAAAAAGCCTGCACTATAGATTATCTTTCAGAATTCTTATTTGGAAAATGCTAGCTGCCTGGGTTCAGTACAATCTGACCTAAGACATGTTTAGATTGGGAGTTATGCTTTTCCTATGACTTTACTACCTGCATACTTGCTTCATTGGCAACCACTGTATCATTCTCAGTGAAGGTCTCCTTGAATTGTTTATGGTCTGGGTTACTGGAGGTGAAGTACAGTAGTAGAGTGTCCTTCGCCTACATCATTTGTATTAAGATATGCCCCTCTTTCCCATCTCAGAATGTTGAATGGTATGTAGGAGATGCAGTTTCTTGTTCAAGTGCCATTCAGTTAAAGTATATCTTTAGATCAGTGCTAAGCAATCCTAAAGAGATGGAGATCTACCTGAACAACATAGGAGAAGTCAAAGATCAATGGGCTCAGTTTCACCTCCTAAAAATTCTGAAGGACCCTCTGCACACTGGTATATACCCTTTCAAGCAGACTCTGCAATAAATAGGGATATTTAGTTCACACATATTGCAATACATGCTTAAGCTGGCCAACTGAGTCAAAGTAATCCCTCTATGGCCAGCCCTACTCTGCCCTGGCTACCCAAATGCTGCTGTGGACACAATGCTAGCATAGGGGAAAAGACACATGGGGAGAGCTACAAGGTTCAGGTCTGGCTACTGACCCAACAATACAACAAACGAGATCCCTGTGCTCAAATCCCAACAGCTAGTGCATGCATTTATCCATCAGGTGCTAAAGGGGTGTAACCACATATTAACTCTCCTTTTCACCTCCTCACACCTAATTTAAACCTCTAATTGCCGTACTACTGTGTCACAATTGCATGCATTGCACAGCAATCATGGGTTTAAATCAGGTGGTGAGGAGGCAACATATCGCTTCCTCACCACCTGTCAAACACACTTGGATTGCTTTGTGCTTGCTGAACTTGTAAATGAGCCCTTAGTTGAGCCCAACAGTGGCACCCTTAGGGCTTGTTCACACGTAAAGTTGGGTGGTGGTAAAACCCTGTGGTTGAGTCGCAGTTTTACTGCCCCCAATCCCTACCCTCTTTAGCTACTGAGGCAGCAGCCAAAGGTGTTCACATTTCACATCAGGAATTAAACCTCTTGTTGCTGGGGGGGGTACTACTGCCTGCCCATCCCGACCTATTCAAGTAAATGGGGCCGCTCTGCAACACCTGCAACTGCATTCTTCTGCGGGTTCAAAGCAGTTGGTGAAAAAGTAACACACCACTGCCTGTTTAATCCCTTGTTTGCTGTACTGCACAAGGTTGCAGGGCACTTGCAGAGTGGCCTCCTTCACTTGAATGGGTCATGCTTGGCAGGTGCTGCACCCACCAACCATGACAGGGCATAGGAGCCAACACAACAGAGGAGACATCGGCTTATGCAGCTCTTGCTCCCTACTACAGCTCCAACTTTACAAGCAGTCCCTCTGCATTGCACTCTGTTTGGTGCTCTGGGATGATGGGTCAGCAAGACCTGATTGTGATCTACCAGTTACCTGGCCGAGATCTACTGGTTGCTGATCCTACTATAGATCAAATTTAATGTAGTTTTAAATAAAGTAAAGAAGGGTTCAAACCACTGTCATGTTGTCATGTTCTTTTGTACTTGTGACCCCTGTGGAGATTTCCCTTTACTTCCTGTCCTTTAAACACAACAGGAAGTGAGAAGTAATCTCTACAAAAAGAGGAGAAATCACCTGTTTAACAATTTTCACTGGAACAGATGTTCCCATTGGATAATTTCACCCCATCTCTAGTTTCGGTTTTGTAGAATTTTGGATGTGTTACATTCTGTTACAGTGACAATGGTCACCAAGACAAATAAAAAGGGAGAATCTCACAAGTTGGGACCCAGACATTAATGAAATCCTAATGAAACCACGGGTCATTACGTATGGGTATGACCCTGCCCCTTTGGGTTTTATAATCATACTCATTGAAACTACTGCATGCCCCTCTGATGACGACGTTATGCAAAAATACATCAGAGACATGCTGTTTGAACCTCAACCTACTGTCTTTGCCACGTAGAGCACATACTGGCTTTTCCTTTCATCTGGCCGTTGTGGATGGTGGATTATCTCAACGTAGTCACTGCACTCTTTTTAGAGGACATATTACTACAGACCAGGGGCAGATTGACAACTCATGGGCCCCCGGGCAATAGGGGATCATGGGGCCCCTGTGTCCTTGCCCAAACTCAAAAAAGCCTATGAAAAACGTACCAGGGGCATCTCATGGGGCCCCCTACTGACAATAGGCCCTCGGGCAGTGCCCGAGTTTCCAAATGGTCAATCCACCCCTGCTACAGACACCTGATTGGCGTTTGCATTGACCATCACTTCCAATATTACCGGAATCTTGGATGCTGCTAGATGGTGAGACTGCATCTTCTACTATCGTATTCTCAATGGAAAGCGTTTATCTTCACTTAGTGCTGCAGATCTATTCCAGCCTTTCTCAACCTTTCTACTATGGAGGAACCCCTAAAATAGTTTTTGGATCTTGGGGAATACCTATTAACATTTTAGACCTAGGACATTTGCATAAGTAGGTTATAGAAACTTAAGCAGAATAAAGAACTGGGTTTACCTAATAATGATGAAATAAAACAAATAAGGCCTCTATCAGACAGGGCAGACTCCACCCTGATCAGCAGGGCTTCCGCTCACAGATCCCTTGCTGATCGGAAAATAGAGTGGGTGGATGACTTATCTGTTTCTGGCTCAGCTTCTAGAGCCTCCCTTGCTCTTCGGGCGAATGGGTATAAATGGACTTCCTTGTTCGGTTATGGGGTTTAAAAGGTCCCGCTGTGTGAAAGGGCCTAATAATAATGGCCAGAGTGGAAACACAGACTG